TTCTTGTGGACAATCTCTCTAATTCAACCTTGCACCTTGTGACTGATTTCATTCCTGTTTGGACGATTATGGTGGCGGCAGCTGATGATCACAGAAAAGAGCCCTACTCCGAATACAACCCGTGGTTCAAGGCACGCCGCAGTCCAGATGGAGAATACGTCTCATGGTACAAAACATAAAGGCAATCCCATCAAGCGATGATGAATTCCTATTGCGAAAGACCAGATATTTCAGTCAGCAAGCTGTTATCCAGTAATCACGATGCCAAGAGCCCGACGTTCAAAAAAAAACTAATCGCACAACCCTGAAAGCTGTAGACGCGTTTTCGATGTGACTGCAATGCACAGTTCAGTTCAGCTGAACAACTATGATCCGGGCACCGAAGTGACGCGGATCCAGTTGCCACAACAAAATTCGTCAGATTATTCATAAAAAAACAAAGTGGGTAAGTGAAGTTAAGGGTAAATACAAAGAATATGAAATCAAGTGATACGTAAAAGCAACAGGGATAGAAGGAATATTAACAGTCGGATGTAAGAAAACGAATGTAGTAGCGCCGAAGACCGCGACTGCACTAGGTCCGATAGAGTCACCAACCACTGATGTACGTTAGTTCAAGACGCCACTCCGCGAGGATGACACGCACGAGGCTGACCAAGTCAATCAGTCAATTTCCCCATGCCTCTGTGCCACGTCACGGACCGGCTACCAAGCGGATACGCCCAAGCTGGTGCAGCAACGACTTATAACGCACGCCGAGAAAGTGGGTCAAAACAAATACGGAGGACATGACCTAGGTAATGTAAGTGGTTAAGATACAATAAACACTAGAATGAGGTACCAGAAGGGTTTCTTGAAAATGCCACTTGGTGGACCTCAGCATTGCTCACCCGGTGTGCCCACCAGAAGTGCGCAATACTCCACAGGCAGCGGTGGTCCCAAACGGCCAGGCGTTTAGTGTCTTCACTGTGAACTGGTCTCTGATCCATACATGAACACCCAACCTCTCACTATTAGCCTAATGTCCCTTCGTCTCCATCGATGGCTGAATTTCCGGAATGCCAAAAGGGCCGTGTTGAGATGCCTGCACGGCGTTGTGCTGACCGGTCCAGATCAGTCAAACGCGCCGCTGATCAGAGGGGTTAAGTGGCGAAGCCAAAATGTCGGCATAGAGGTGGGGGTGCAGTGCGTGTAGGATTCGTGTCCAAACGAAAGATAAGTGTCACGATGGAAGTCAAATAAAAAGAGCGATCGCAGCTCAAACTGTTGGTCAATATCGGATTTTAGACAAAAGTGAGCGATAGCGCGAAACTGATCTCATGCGAAAGGGCATAAGCTTTAGGTCTTAGAACCTAAAAGAAGGTGACAGAGTATACCGCAGCGTTATCGCATTGGTAGTGTCTTGTACAGATATACAATATATGGTAAGATTAAGCTAAGTCCAAATGGGAAACGAAAAGCCTGATTCCGCAGAAAATCTGGATACAGAAGTTACACAAAGCTCGGTAACCTACTTGGCCGATTCGAGGTGAAGTTAGAATGAAACAGAGCGTTCCACTTTCCGGTCAGCTGAACCGCTCGAAGGTGAAGAAAAGTACAACTCAAACACAACCAGAAGCTGGACATAGCATGATTTGAATACAAAAAAACTTCCCTCATGAGAGCATCATCCATAGATTGCATCGGAAAACAAGAATGCCGTAAGCGAAACGGAAGTTGGCTCAGAATGCATATTTAAACTATGGGCCCAAGCGGTTTCTGTAGCAAAAGGCTATGATATCCCAAAAGAAAGTAGAACAAGTAGGTAACTATTCTTGTATGTTGCGTTCCGATAATTGAAGACTAGATAATCTGACAAGATTCAAATCATAGATGATTTATTGTAGGTTTTATACTTCCTAATGGGGCGTTTTCTAACTTTAAACTACCGCTAAGGTAAGCATGAAACGCTGGGACAAAAAGTGGAATTGAAATGCACGGAATTCCAGACGGTTACGCATTCTAATCGCGGTGGAGTTACAGACACATTAAGACGACATTTGTGCATAGCGAAGTTGAGGAAAATAAAACTTTTGATTCAGAGTACACAGACCACGGCGTAGTGGACCAGAAAGGTCTTTCAGGACCTTGGAAGAAACAACAATGAATGCGTAGAAAACATGTAGAGATGTATTACAAACCGCACATCAGAGCACAGTTATTTCGAAGAGACTAGGAGAATGTATGAAGCCACAAACCGTTCGAATGCGAGAAGTGAGCGCAATTCGTAATATAATCGCTAAGCAATCTCCACATATTTGGGTGACATGCGATTTGGAACAGAAGAATGAAAAGAGTTGGTGTCAAGGCTTTTAAAAGCGCTTGAAGAAAAGTAAGCCGTACAGATCCGCACATTTTACCGAAATATTTTATGAAGTGCAGTGTTCAACAAGGAGCGCTGAAATGTATGAGCAGCTTCATGAACACCATTAGCACGAATGCCTGCGAAAAGCAGCAGGGCAAGTCGTCAATCAAAGGCATTCAACAAGAGCTACCTTTATGCAACCAACCGGAAAGGAGGCATCAGCAGTACGCAAGTGCACCGTACCGACGTTTCGCTGAAACGCAACAACAACAACAGCAACAACAATCAGTCCCGCTCGGGCTAAGGGTACCGCGAAGGTCGCCCGTACCTGCGCATATTTGAACAGGTGACTTCTTGACCCCAATGTAGGAGCATAATCTTTTCGACACCAGCTTTACTCTGACTAATCTCTAAATAGCAAAGGTGACGCCAGTGGCATGGTCTTGTAAAACATGTCGATAAAGGGAATCAGTGGGTTCCTTAAAGACTAAAGGTTACAAGGTATCTGTATCAGTGTCCAGATTAGATATCAGTTTCTGGGTCCCCTGTAGACATCAACGGTATTAAAGTAAACAACAGAAAGTGAGCTAATGAGGATGGACAGAGAAAACGCGACCAACGGTGAGGAGCTGAACTCGGTCTTGCATTTACCTACACCCACTGTGTAGATCCGGTTGCAAGAAGCTTAGGCGCAGCCTGTCAAAAAAAAACATATCTCCAAAGCTGTGATTACCTGAAATAACCAGAATACGAATTGTTTAACAATTGCGCTCCAGTTTTTATTACTAACCGGGAGTAGATTAAATCTCTCTCATTTAAACAATAAAACGATTTGAGACAATGATGTTCCGCCGAAGTATCAAGATGTTTCAGGAACATTAACATCTATCAAGTTGCGTGCGCATCCATTTAATGTCGGCTAGGGGACCGAACTACCAATCCTGAAACCCAATTCACCTATAGATTTCAATTAATTATACACTACTTGTGCTAGTTTTCAGTAGCAGCACCTCCAACACGCTTTGGTACTAAGGCGTTGGATTCTATGGCAGCGATTTTGAGCATGAAAGGGACAAGATGAGTTTGATCGGAATCGCGCAAGAGGGAGAAGCAGATACAGCAAATATAGCCTGTTCGTTTTCCTTCGAAACTACTTTTTTCCGTAGAGGAAAAGAAAATCTCTCTCCCCGTAAGTGAGTCGTTCTAACTTGGCAATGTGGGTTGAGGCGGAAGTTAAGGTCACTAGCGTGATTGTCATCCCTAACTGATTAGTTACTAGAAGGGGAAAATAACAATGCACTTGGAGGAAGCGTTGGGTAGAACCGCGCGATATGAGTCGTGAGCAAGTTCGCCGTCTGGGTTTTTACGTGAGTGCGGAATAGTTGATTTCACTCTAAATGATATGGAAGATTTGGAGGTGGTTCGGTGTTGCTCTTCCCAACCCTGACACCCCAACTCGGATACGGTCCTTGTGATCCTAATGACTGAGGTCTACTTCAAAGTGAACCAAAGTCTCAATAGAGGTTGCGTGTCGCAATCTAACCACACAACAGGTACTTCAAATCTAACTCCGATATGGAAGATCTTTTTAAGATTCAGCGGTCCCTCTTTCTAAAGAGCATATTAAGCCGAGCATCGAAGTTGATCACCAAGGTTATTAATCAGACCAAGTGGCTCCGCGAATTCTGCGCCAACATTATCTATGTTAATGGTAATACCATGGGTAGAACAAAACTTTTGGTGACAATGTTGCGAAAAGTTAGCTGTTCGAAGACTGACTAGTGATGATGAGTGAAGTAGGAGGGAGGGTATTGTCAGCACTATAGTATTTCGCATTGTTACCTTGCTATCGCGCAACCAAAGCCGGATGTAAGCAAACTAATTTTGCATGGGCGACATAAGGCATCCAGAGGGGGTGCAAACCAGGGATGTAAAAGATGAAATCCAAGCGCCTGAACAACTACACTATGATCCCCGATGTGTCAAGAGCTATGTAGGTCTCCAAAGACGACAGACAAGAAGTCGCATGGAAAAATCAGCTTCCATTCGGGAAAATCACAATGTGTTGAGGATATTTAGTATGTGAACGGTAGAGCTGCCAGGTTACATCAATAATAGCCAACTCAGATGCTGAGGCTATCGAAATTTCGAGTTTCCTTGGCAGTCGGATCGATTCTGACACAACTGCGCTCCGAGGTTAGGATATCCAGTGATTGTGCAGGTCATGGCAGGCTCGTGGCAGTACCAGCAACCCGAGTAAAAGACTGGACAATGGGCACATGTTAGCACGTTGAAAACAAGGTCGGGGATGGAATGCGGAAAGTAATAAGTTAGTTGTGTTATTTACCTCATGAGATCCCGTTCACAATCAGCGATACGTACGGTTGCAATCGGTGTAAAAATCAAGCGGTCGATGCGCTTTGACTGTGCATACCTACAGAAATCCTACGAACAAGTATTAGTAAAGGTATAAAGACGGTGAAAAGGTTTCGCATCATCCACTCAAATAAAATGGCCGATTGGAGAGTGGTTAAACAGAAGTAAGCAGCTGTAACAATGATAAATCGCATCAGACGTCTGCTAAACTGTGTGGTCAAAAATGGAGAACCAACAGGAACATGAGAGGAAGGAGGATCCAAAAGTAGAAATGACTAACTTCCGGAAAAAGCTGAATGAGACTTTCGGAAATTGACAAAATTTGACATGGGGCCTCGGGTAGCAGCGGATGAAAGAGACCAAGAAGCTTCTGTGAATAGAACGGGAGAGAAAATAGCTGTATGGATCGATCGAAATGATCGATTAAAGTGGTATAAAGTTACGTACCAATCGATATTGCACATATCAATCAAAGTGTGAGGGAAAACACTTGCCAAAAAGACAGATAAGTGTTGACACAGCCTTGAGGAATTGGTTTTACGATCAAGCAAAAGTCATACAATGAGTGGCCAACAGGTGTCAGGCGCAACAAGGAGGAGACAGTGGGGGAATACCACATAGCGAAAAGCGATTGCATCTAAGTGGACATCTTAAAGACATGGACATTCGTTTAGTGGTATATGAGGAAAAGCCAGCGCCCTATGCAAGTCAAAAACCAACAAGACTAACACATTGAAAGCGCTGCGAAACACCAATCGTATCTTACATCGCGTGCAATGAAATTTGGAATGCGTGCATCGTTGATCATACTGTGATTCAGAGAATCTATGAAGCATTATCACGAAATCACACGTGAGCAGCGAATAAATTGCCACCACACAGATGTCACTATTCACTCTGGTAAAACATGTGTCATCCGAAATGCATTAGTTGGTAACATGAGATAGTAGGACAGATTTTCTAAAAGTTAGCAGGTCCTAAGATGCTGGTAACACGCGTGGCATTATAAATCTGGAATAAAATAACACAGGGTGCCAGCTTTGAGGCCAAGGAGATAAAAAAATAAAAAAATCAAAGAAAAATTAGAGCAATAGAGAGCTGAGAAGGAGAATCAAATTGACCGAATTGGCACTAGTTAGCATCCAAGGAGAAGTATGATTAAAGAAAATAATTTTTAGTCATTAAAGCTGCAACAGTGAAATATGAGGTACATGAAGAACTAAGGAAGCCTGGGTGGGCGTGGTTGAATATTGGAGACGTACTACTTCCTAAGATCTATGACGACAGAACGAAAATTTCTGATGCTAGAAAACCTACCGGAAGAGGAACTTTGAAAACGTTTTTTAACTGAATTCGCCCGTCAACTGCACGCAATTGCTCCAGCTGGGGGTGGGTTGCAATCTGGTGTAAGGTGGATTGGATTTGACAGAGGATTTCCAAAGGTTCCGCTTGGTGAAGTTTGAGCAGGATAAAACCGAAGCTTGACAGACGCACAGTACAGCGGAGGTTGTGCACACAAGGTTCGGTATTAAAAACAGATAAACTCCGTCGCAAAGCACTAGAAATTGGAAAGTAACAAATATAACAAGTTAAACACACCGAATGAAACAGCACATGCGAGATGGTTGATTAGTATGCACGCATTACGCAAAGCTCTGTCGCGTAGTGGCAGCTAAAACAGACACAAATGCGGTGCGAAGAGGTTGATACTTACGACAATAAACGAGATCAATTGATTATATATATATATATATATATATATATATATATATATATATATATATATATAATGTAAAGAGGAGTTTTGGCCTTTTTCACACGCCGAGGTGTCCTGGTCGTGCTTTCAGTGATTACGCCTTTGATGCGTTTAATCAATGCATAAATTTATGTCAACCTTCCACTGTTCCAGATTCCGAGCCATGTCTTCAAGAGTCTCCAACCACCGATGTTGCTCATTTTTCACTCCTCAACCCAGAAGACGTACGTTACCGACAACAGCTGGACTAGAAGTCAGCGCCTTGACGTTGTCGCTGTATGGTGGGTTGGCCACCGCGCGTTCTTTCACTGTGGCCCTGCGCGAAAGAATAGAGCGCACCGTGGTAAACGCTCAAACGGGATGCGTAGAAAGTGACCCAGCCATCTCAGTTGGAGCAGCGGTATTAGGTTGTTGAGAGGGAGGCCGGTATTACCTATGCCGTAACGTCTAACATCGACGTTGCCAATTTGGTGTTCCCACTACACACGAGCTATCCTCCGTAGACAACAGGTCTAAGACCAAAATCCGGCGGAAGTCATTTACACGGAACGGCCAGAATTCATTTACGTACAACAGTATCGCACGAACACAGGCATTGTAGACCCTGCCCTTTGCCGAGAGTGAAACGTTACTACGACGCCACAGGTGCTCTAGATTAGCGGAAGCTGATTTGCCTTTGGTAATAAGGAGAGAAATCCCTCTTCAAATGGTGTCATGGTCAGAAAAGTAGCTTTCAAGATAGATGCTATCCATTTTCTCAAGCTGCACCTGTTCAAGAATCAGAACTGGGGAAAGTGGATACCAATGCTGGAGTAGGACTTTGCATTTCGATGGGACAACGAAGGTCATGTCATCCTTGGTGGCTTCAAGCACCAAACAGTGTAGGATGACCTGCATAATCTGTGAATCGTCAACCAGCTAGGCAATATCACCAGCATAGTCCAAGTGAGTAGCGCTGTCGCCTGAAAGAAGCTTTACGGCAAAACCCTAGACCTTCCAGAGCGCTTAATAGGACATCCTCAATCGCAAAGTTGAAGAGAAACGGGGAAATGAGGCATCTCTGTCGCACACCGACAGTGACGGCGAAAGGCAAACAGAGCTTACCGTAAGCCTTCAGTCTGCCAGACACTGCCGTATAATGCTTGAAGGATGGCGGTATACTTTTCGGGTATTCCATATTTTGCCGATCGCCATAAAGTAGGCCAATCGACCGAGCCGAGAGCAGCTATGTTAAAAATGACGACAATGGCAGGTTGGCGATAAAAGTGACGTAGCTCAAAGTGTTGCTAAAGCATAAATATGTGGTCCACACTCCCTCGACCGGGGTGGAAACAAAGTTGATCCTCACAGGTGTGTAGTTCTCGAATTGGTGTTAGCCTGCGCAGTAGAGTAGATGTTAGTAGGCTGAAGGCGATGAATGTTGGACACCACTGGGATTGACACTTAAGATACGGGGCAAAAAGGTGTCAACAGTACACCAGCACGCTGTACCGACACTTCGCTGCCTCGCAACCATTACCAGTTGCACGTGGGCAAAGGATACTACGAATGTCGCCCGGTCCCTACGCAGGCTCGAATCCGCACCGTCGGATTACAAGGCACACTTGTGATCCTTGAGGTTACGGGGAGCCTTCTTGAAGATCTGGATGATAATCGAAACGAACCAAGAGGACGGACCTTTTCCTTACATCAAGCCTTGGAGAAGAGACCTGTTAACTGGCTGACAATTGTCTCGCCACCTTACATGAACAGCTGCAGGAAGTCTGTCCGAGCCAGCAGCCTTGAATCGCTGCAAGTGAGGAAGCTCAAAGCAGACCTCAGCTTCGGTGGGTGATTCCATTGAAACGTTCCAAGACGTACAAGTAGGCATACTTATTGGACAGTCAAGAAGAGGAGGCCAACGGAATTGAGAGTGAAATCGCTCAGTTCGGCGGTCCATGTGCCTACACAAATTTGTGATTGGAGACCCATTAATCTCGCAAATAGTCTCACTGACACCAGATCTTATGTGGCAAGTGGTCCGAATGATCTGGGAAAGCTTGCGAGTTTCCATAGAGAGCTGCCAGGTCCATCTCGGAAGTGCGTTGAGACAACGGTGTTTCGCGATCGCTAAACTAGCTCTGTCTGATTTGTTTGATGATGTTGCGGCGGACTTCATCGCAGCTTGAATCAGCTGGGATAGCTCGGCGACCAACAAACAATTCCAAAGAGTGAGCAGTGATCCAGCCTAACAGAGGATGCTTAGTGATTCCACAGAATGGTTGACCAGAAGAAAGCAATGCCTTCTGTAAGAAACTCCAGTAATGTCTGACGTCTTGATGTGGAGAACTAGTGAACGCATCCTAACGAGGAATGAAAGGCCAGTGGAATGGAGACGCTAGCTGGCCTGTTCATATACAGCGTAGTGCTTTGGTTTCGAAGAACTTCCAAAGCGCATGCAGATGTCCGCACTGATAATAGCGTGATCTGAGTTGAGGTAGGTAAGCCAGATTGATCTGCAATCTAGTAGAATGCCCAGTCATCTAAAGCGAGCAATTTGTGATCACGCCAGCGTTCGCGAATGGAGACGCCATATGCCGACACACCTCCTCGAATTCTTGAAATGTGCACCCCAGAGAAACAGCCGGTAACCATCAGATAACGTGAGGCGTCTATTTCTACCATTAGAGTGGCTCTCATCAAAGGCATGACGATCAAGATGACGTTCGCATGGCAGCAGGCGGCCAACTCGTGTATGGGTCTCTGACAAGGACGAGGACACCGGATTTCCGTGCTTTACCCAAAAGTCGTCTGCGACCGAAACACAGCTGTAGTCGCTTGGAGCGTATGCGGAGATCACAAACAGATTGCGCCTCTCTATACAATATCTATTGATGAGATGAGCTGAGTATAAATTTAGAGTCCAGTATCAGTTCAGCTGATTGACTACGATTTGCGTGCCAGAGATTGGTGGACACAAGTGTCTTAACCCACAAAACCATATGGAAAATAGTTGGAAAATGGCGTGAGAAACAAACAAAACGGTGGTCAAAAAACGAAATAAAGTACCAAATACTGCGTGATTGCATACAGACCAGAGATTAAACTACCACGGAAACTACCCGATGAATCACAAGAAAAGCTGTAGTTAAACCCTGTTCAAAAGAGCGGAAAAGCCCTGCAGCACAGCCGAATAGCGGATAAGAAGAAAATCACCTATTGGAGTGTTTAAAAACAACAGTTATCTGAGAAATTTTATCAGAAGAAGCTTAAATAAAAGAATGCCTCAGCAACAGCAGGTGCAGTCATCTGACCAAGCAAACAAACGGATAGTGCTCCCCTACATTAAGAACGTCACCGAACTAACAGGAAGATTGCCGCAGTTACATGGAATCTCTGTGGCTCACAAGCCAAGTGCCACCCTCAGGAAATTGATCTCAAAACGCAAAGGAAAAGTCAATCAAGCCGACCAATGCAATGTCATCTACCAGATACAATGCAGCGACTGTGATAAAAACTACATCGGACAAACTGGAAGAAAGCTTTGTACACGAATCACCGAACACAAAGTGGCTGTCAAGAGGCACGATTCGCACTCATTGGTTTCTGCGCATGAAGATCAAGAAGGCTACCATTTCGATCTGGAGAATGTAAAGATCCTAGCACCTGGAAGTAAAAAATACGCGTGGGTTTTTGGAAGCCTGGTACTCTACAACGCATTCAATCAATCGACACATCGGACTTGACGTAGTGTATGCAATACTACTGGCGAACGACCACCAACTCGATCGATTGAATTCAGTGGAACGTGTGACTAGACAACCAGAAGGAACGACAGACTCGCTCGCAAGAGCAAGCAGACAAAGGCCACGAAACACAAGGAGGCAAGGTCAAAGGTCATCTGTCCATCAACCAAGCTGAACGCGGATCGAAGTCCCAACCAATAGGATTGCTCGGCTCCACGGCCAACCACGGCGGTATAAAAACGCACGCACACCACGCTCAGCGCACTCTCACCGAGGCTCCTCTACGCTACTACAGCCACTCAACTACGCACTGATGATGTCACCATGATTGGTGACGAAACGTTTGCAACAAAATGGCCCAGCACAGCGAACAGTTCAACCGTCATATATGGGACTCACTCAGCTGTTCATTAAAGCGCCACCAGGCAACCGAAAGAAGCAATTTCAGCTTTATAGACAGCCTAGTAGAATTCAAGTGACCAACTGGCAAACTTCAGCATGATTGGAAAGCAATGCTTTGCAGACGAGTTGTACACTAGGGAACGCACGTCTAGATGTCACAACAGCTCGAACCTAGAACAGTCGGGTTTATTTGGGCAATTCACTCATGGTACCGTTCTAAATCGCCGTTCCACTACGCTTCTGACTCCACAACGTAACTGTGGTGGTGGATTCGTGCACTACCCGCCCTTCATCCGCAGTGGTCCCT